CTGGAAGGAACCTTTTGTGGCGCAACTCGTGATAATAATTTTAACAATCGGTCGAGTCGTCTTCTCCATTTTAACAATAGTTGTGTTCTGATTATACGTATGTTATCCCTAGGTCCTCTTCCTACTGACACGTAACCTTACTTATAGCGCCTTGTCTGCCCAGATCGGTAGAAGTTCTAATGATTTTTTGCTGGACTCGGTTTCCTAGCGGGTCACCCAAAGTCTTCTTGCTATTAACTTGCATTCCCACCAGACAAGCGCCGTACGGAATTTATCGAGGCGGCTGCATTTGTACCTTTTCGTCTCCGACTACTGAAATGATTCTTTGTTTGTCCCTCTTCACTCGTACAGTTCCACGAAGCAGGTGAGTGCAGCATAAGAGGTTTCTTCAGTAGATGGAAGCTGACTCGCTCTGAAGTATACTTTTGGGGGTTACTCGCAGGAGGTCATAGAAGGCCCGTCGCAAAAATTGATTTTTTCGTTAAAATGACCCCACTGGCTGATAACGCAATGTCTGCTCGTCTTCATGTCGAAGCAAAATTTAGGGACGACCACATCCAGCTACAGATTAAGACTGATGCTTTCTAACGAGCTCTGACCGATGAAGACTAGGAATATGTTATCAGAATTTTAAGATGATACAGCCCTCTAAACCGTTGGTCTCGAAGACAATCAAGCCTGACTTTTAAAACTCTCAGACTTCGCCCCCTCAGCTGCAGTCCTGTTTGAAGGAATTTCAATGTCTGACTATAGCTTCTGATGCAGACTACTTTCAGGTAATTGGAAAACTGAAAAACTACAAAGCGCGTTCCGATAATGCCTTACGGTGAAAATTTCCGGCATGCTAGAACTATTTCGCATGCTTCCTGTCTGTTCTCAGATATTAAATTTCAACGTCGTGAGTTAATGGTAAGCAAATTTCATTATTTTGCGTCCTTTCGGACATTTATCGGTGTTGTGTTCTCTCACTAGGGATAAACTTCACCGATCTTGAGAGGCTGACTAGCATCTTTTTAGAAATGCGCCGTGTCCTGGATGGGTGCAAAGGCAGCGAAGTTGAGCTTTCAAGTTATTTTTTCACAACAGATGTCATCAACCCCAAGCTTTTTTATCGATTTATCTGCTTGCTAATAGCAGTAGGCTAATGGACAGCGGCTGTTGCCCTGACTCGAACTTTCTGCAGGGCGGACAAGTTAAGAATGAAATCGATCACCTGGATGTTTGCGATTTTTATCCGTTTTTTTGAAACCTCCGAGTTCACATGAGATTAATTCAAGTTGGGATTAAAGGAGGCCTCCGCCAAGATAATCCATCTGTATTTATTTTAGACTTGAGCCACGCGCTCAGTAGATACCACTCTCTGGTTTTTCTGATCGATGTTAGCTGCACTTCACTCAATCTCTTTGATTGCGTCTCCAGCCAACGACTACAGTTATAATGTTCCCTTCTTACTTGCCAATTGATGTGGTTCGTCCGTGTTGTGCATTGACTTGAGAACATCGTCCGGGACGTTGTCTCGCCTTGACTGGCAATGGTATCGAAATGGCAAACTAAAGACACTGGTTGACTTACTGGGTGCCGACCTCAGGCACATTTCCGACCCCGCAGTCTTTGGCGCCGGCGGGTTAAAGGAGCTCAAGTTTTCTTAGCAGTTTGTCGTTAACGGATTGCGGTAGGGCACGAAAATTGTCTATCTGCTGATCTGTAAGATGGGATTGGTTGAGCCGATTATGAACGCTGTTACAAATGCCAGAAGTGTGCCCTTTTGCAGCACGTTCCAACAATCTTCATGATGGAGGAACAGACGACAGTTCGTACCATATGATCTTAAGCTATATTTGTTGGTGATTATTATGCTGTTATCCATCTTACCCGGCTCCACTTGCCATCTACACCTGTTAAAAAACTGACGTGCTGCCGAAAGGTAACCATCCTTGCTGTGAAGACTCCTATATTTAAGTCTGCCTGGTCTTCTTCCTAAATGTTACTTTTTCTTTCCACTAGAGCCTCTTGATCTCCCGTCGCTCCCTGACACGTCTTTCAATCCATTCACCAAACATTTGACCATCGCCCCCAGCAGGACGGGATTCGGCGCGGTCTACGTGTGATGCCATTAATGAGCATTGACACACCGTCTCTAGCGGACAGTGATTATCATAACCTGTTTAAGTACTTCTCTTCACTATCCTCCTCTTGCCGAATTCTACTGCCGACGGTTGTTGGCTAAGCGTCTTCTCATCCTTATTGGACTCACCTTCTGAATAGTTTACAAGTTGTCCAAACGACTAATGCCTGACCATTATTTACATTAAATTTATACGCGTGTAAATCAATGGCTTGCGTATGGTTTCAAATGACTGGTGAATCCTCTTTATCTAATGCAACCCGATCCTCACTGGTATCCGCAAACGGTTGATAATTTCTCGCCAGCTTCATTTAGCCGTGGTTGACGCTGTAGTATTAGTCTGGGAACCAATTAGGATGGTCAGACTGACGAGCGACTATTTTTATCCTTAATGACTACTTAAGTAAGTAAAATCCTACGCTCGTCCGCCTCGAATTAATGTCAACACGTTAAATGGGCGATCCGGTTTGATCTCAAATGACTGAAGGCTATGTTCGTCTCACGGTTACCGCTTTTAATTGTTGCTTTCAGAAAAAAATGGGCGAACTATCGGCTAAGTCTTTTTGGACTGGATCCGCGTTCGCTCTTGGGATTTCTCACGCTCTCCGGTCTTAATAATCTCAGGAATAATTTTCGCATACCCAGTGTACCTTTACAGGAGCAAACTCGTGATGGTAGAGTAGCTGATCTCCATTGAGACTGGTATTTGTTTAAACATGTGGACTTTGGACTGCTGCGACCATGCTATAGCACTAAGGCACGAAATCAGTAATATATTGTTATTCAAAAAATTAGGTGATGCGTGTGCAGAACAGATAGACAACTTTACTGTGCTGTTTTGTCCGTAGGGGGTTTCTCGGATGTATCGGCGACCGGCTTTCCAGCCTGATCTCCAGCTGGAGCAGCTGCCTTTTTCGATTTATCAGAGGAAAGATCTTCACTGCGCTCCGACTCCCTATTGGCCAATTTGTTGTTGATCAAATCATGTAGTGCCAAGATGGCGCGCATGATACAGGCAACATAGACGACGAGCATCTGATCGTTGGAAGTCATATTGAGCGCCCGTACAGTGTCGTGTAAACGTAGATCTGGAAGCAAGTTAAATATGTCTTGCAGGCAGTATATTACTGCATGATTGACTGGAATGCGCTTGGTGGCCACAAGTTCTAAGTATGTTCGTATCTCAGATAGCTGATGCATCATGCCGTCCAAGCCACTTAGCTTTGAGCCGATCCGCTGAGAAAGTGTGCCCAAAGAAGAATCTTTGATGTCTCTAGAATGTTCGGTATAAAAATGTGTTACAAATTTATTGAAAGTGCGACGCAAAACAAGAGTACAACGTTACCTTAATAAGTGTTCTACGCCAACCTCTTCCGCCTCTTCGGCACCAATTTCGGACAAGAGGTGATCGAACGTTTTTGTCGTCGGAGAGCCGTCCTAGATTGATGAGGGGGAAATGAAGTTTGTTCTTTCAAAATCAGATCAGACAGCCAATAACGCTGAGTTTTACAGACAAAAAGCAGACCAAAACTCAGG